TCTTCTGGTCAGTAGCAGTGACAACGACGCCTTCTGGTCAGTAGCAGTGACAACGACGCCTTCTGGTCAGTAGCAGTGACAACTCTCTTAAACCTTCTTTTTCTATGGCCACTCTCACTCTTTATCGTCACATTCGCTTCTTCTTCGAGCATCATTCACTCCCCTTTACGTCGCCCTCTTTTCATTTTGTCCTCTCTCTCTCCTCTATTGTCCTCCTCACTTTTATTGCCCCCCTTTTTGCTCTATTTGTCACCCTCCCCTCTTTATTATCGTCACACTTGCCTAATTTCTGTATCCTGCTCTTCCTTGAACTCCAACTCCCTACCTTTCTTTTGTCCTCTCCCTTTCTCTGGTCCTCCTCCCTTTCTTTGGTCCTCCCTTTCTTTTGCCCCCTCCCTCTCTTTGACCTCCCCTCCCTTTCTTTTGTCCCCTCCCTTTCTTTTGTCCCCTCCCTTTCTTTTGCCCCCTCCCTCTCTTTGACCTCCCCTCCCTTTCTTTTGTCCCCTCCCTTTCTTTTGTCTCCTCCCTCTCTTTGGCCTCCCCCGCCTTTCTTTTGCCCCCTCCCCTCTTCATCACCGGCACCCCCAGCATAAATAATGTCAACATGTCGCTCATGCCGCGGTGTTGCAGGAGCGGCAGGCAGGCGAGCGGCTCCAGCGACTCTGAGGAGGAGGACCACGACGCAGGCGACCACACACGAGGCTCTCGCCTGCACCTCCTGTGTGACGCCATGTCTGCCATGACACACTCTGTCACCTCACTCGCAGGTGGGTCATCGTGACTCACCTTCACGATGAGTCATCATGATGATGAGTCATCACGGTCAACAATTGACACGAAGTAGAATCAATGATCCGCAGTAGTTTGCTGGAAAGTTTTTGATGTACTGTACAATGTACATGTGTAAAATGGAAAAAGTATTTTTGAATAGCTGAATTGCGTTGTTTCCTTTTTCAGAAGTACATTCTGTGAAAAGTATTAATAGAGGGAAATTAAATTTTAGATTTCGTGAACAGTTATTTATTTGATTTCGTTTGTAATGAGCCAAATTTAAAATGACAATGCAGGTATAACTAAAACCTGGACGATTTCTTGACATCTTTGCGAGGATGTACTGGCAGTGGGTGTTCGTGAGAAAAATGTAAATTTTTTGATGATTTATGATTATTTATATTTACCTATTTGTGAAGAAAGAAACTACCGAGTTTCTAAACCGACACGTGATCGGTATTTTTGCCATCTGAGATATGGCATTCATTTCAACCGAAAATATGCTTTTCGAAGAAACAATGTGGTAGGACAAGGACTTTTCCTTGTTTTTATTTAACAATTTATTGAACAACACAACAAGAAGAACCAGGTATGTACAGTGAACAGAGAAGAAAAGAACAAGCGCAAAACAGAAGCACGGGGTCTATAACCTCAAATAATGGTATTTTCAAGTTTGCCTGCTTTACCCAGTCTGAAAAGCAAAAAAAGATTAACATGATAAACTTAAGGAGTGCACTAAATCCATAAAAAAGATCAGTTATATTAACTTTAGCATGATTTAGTTAGTGATGCATATCAAATACCTAGTGAGCAGTCTACTATGATGTCAACACTGAAATTTACATACTTTTGCTCTAATTTTATACTTTAATTTCAAATTACATTGCATCTCAGGAGAAGGGGGTTTGCAGGACCCCTAGTAGGAAAATCCTACTTCCTTGCAGGATCACTGAAAGAACTTCCCACAACAACAAAAGTTTTTTTTTGAGTTGTTAACCTCCCACGCTGTATTTTGAATAAAGTTTCAATGCCATGATTATTTGATTAACTAAATACCACAAGTCAAAATCATGGGCGTGCATGTTCACTGTTGAGCGCGCGGGATTGTCATTCGATATAATATTTATGACAAAACTTAAGTGTGGGGTTTTTAGCGTCACGGAATGGTCAAACTATATTCTTTTGTACAGACCACAAGAATAACAAGTGTGGGATTTCTAGCGTCACGGAATTGTCTATATTCTTTTGTTGTTGTTTTTTTGTACAGACCAAAAGAATAACAAATGTGGAATTTCTAGCATCACGGAATTGTCTATATTCTTTTGTTTATTTTGTACAGACCATAAGAATAATAAGTTTGGGATTTCTAACGTCACGGAATTGTATATATTATTTTATTTCTTTTGTTTCTTTTGTACAGACCACAAGAACAAAGACATGGTAGTGTCGAGCGGGTGCGAGTTACGTGAAAGACGAGCGAGCACTGGCGAGGAACTCTCGCCAGACTCGAGGACTCGACGGGAGCTGCGCGACGAGAAGACGCGCACACTCGACGACAAGTCGCTCGTCGTCACCAGCAAGCAGGCGTCTGGTGACGAGCGTGACGAGGAGGACTCGTGGCGTGACGGTGACACGCTTGCTGACTCCTGGTCTCAGCCTAACAGGTAACTTAAAACTACTTTATTGGTAAGCCTTATGTATTTGGAGGCTTAATTTCTAATGAATTGAAATGAGCATTGAATGTGTCCCTTACAAATCTATCCTAGGTAATTTTCCGTTCACCGTAAGGGAATCCAAATCAAGATTTCATAATGTACTTTCTTTTCTATGAAATGAAAGTTCATTTCGTAATGAACTTTCAAGATTTCATAATGAACTTTCTTTTCTATGAACTGAAAGTTCATTTCGTAATGAACTTTCAAGATTTCATAATGAACTTTATTTCTCCAAATCAAGATTTCATCATGAATATTTCATAACGAACTTTGGTGTTCTAGGGCACGGGAGTCGCTGGATTGTGCGAGTAACTCCTTCATGGACTGCGAAGCAGGCGCTCGGGAGGCGGAAGTTCAACAGAAACAAGAGAAACTCTCGGGCAAATTCAGCCTAGAAAACATCATCGAGGACTCGCGGCAACGCAACCGAGCCAACATCGCAGCGGCAGTGGGCGGGTCGATGAGCCGCGGCCTGAGTCCCAGGTCTCCTGAGGCCTTGTGTGGGAGACCGGGACCCACGGGCGCCTCCTCCAGGCAGGGACTCGGTGTGCTGCAGTCTGATTCCTCCAGGGTTACAAGGTGTGTAAAGTCGAAGTTTTCTATATTCCAGCGACATTATTCCAGTGACATTATTCCAGCGACATTATTCCAGTGACATTATTAAGCGACATTATTCGTTGAATTCTTCATTGTTTATAATGATGTAACACCAGCAATTCTTGTTGATAGGGCATCATCTATTATTCTATAAGTGTGAGCAATTTTCTGCACTCTCACTACTACTTTTAATGCTGAAACTGTGGCTATATAATGACCCATTTGTTTGTTTTAGCTAAAGCACCGGTTAATATTTTGTGCGAGCTTCTGAAAGCTCGCTCTCATTGACAACTCGGGTTTTTTTTTATTTTCTTCAGCTTAAGCGCTGGTCACCTGAGACCTTGTAGACTGTGACATTTCACTATTTATTATTATTATATAAACTATTTCATAATTTTACCTCGAAGTTACGCTATGTACTAGAAAATTGTTTACTAATGCATCGCCACACCTACCCCTGATAAATGAAATGTAATTCTGAATAACGGTTCGAGTTTTTATAGTCACAACGTGCTTTGTCTGTGCAGTGATGAGGTCGACTCAAATGCTTATCAGGGACAGCCATCACAGCTGAGCTTCTCGGACGTCGTCGTGAGTTTAAATGAACTCGTGCTTAATGCATGATTTTTTTATTGTTTTTTACTCAAAAATGTTTTTATTAATAGTAACAATTATTATTAATCTTAATGACTACATTCTGAGGAAAATTGTAACACGTTCATCTACAGGGTCCGCCATATTTATGGCAACGTATGTTTGCTATATCAAAATTATTTGGATCCTAGGAGACTTTTCTTTTATAATGAAGCTTAATATCATCTATTAATTCATCTATTTTATATTGCAGAAGTCTAAGCTGTCTTAATTTACTATTATTTATGGCAGTTGATAGAAATGCAATTGTAACCCTTCATTAAAAGGGCGAGAGTAATTCAGTTATTGCAAAAATGCTCATTATTCAGCGTGAAACTGTATGGAAGGTGGTAAAAAAATTCAAGGAAACTGGTGAAACATACAATCGACCTGGTCAAGGAAGGAAACGAAGTGTCCGAACAAAACAATTGGGCAAAAACACGAGGGAGAAGCTGAGGAGAAACTCTCGTAGCTCAGCTGCAAAATTGGCTGCAGAAGCAGTAGTCAGTCAGACATCAATGCGTAGAGTCCTCAAAGATGACCTCAAAACCTCCCCTTACAAGATGCAAACAAGGCATGAACTAACAGATCGTCATGAACGAATGAGGCGCGAAAGATGCCAGAACATTCTGGATCTCATTGAGGATGGCACGCTGCCCAACTTGGTGTTCAGTGACGAGAGAAAATTTGATATTGAACAACGTGTTAACCGTCAAAATGACAGAGTTTGGAGTCGGGATGGATCTGTGGCAACCAATGCAGCAACACGACGTCAAAATCCCATGTCCGTAATGGTTTGGGCCGCGGTAACCGCCACTGGGAGGTCCCCACTCGTTTTTATCCCCTCAGGAGTGAAATTAAACAGTCAGCGTTACATTTCGGACATTTTGGAAGCTGTGTTGTTACCTTGGGCCCGTAAACACTTCAATAAACTCTGCCCCATCACATGGCTCAAACATGACCCAAAACTGGATTCAGGGTCGCATCCCAGCGTTCATTAGCAAAAATGAAGCGCCCTCAAGAAGCCCTGGTTTGAATCCTCTCGACTTTTCTGTGTGGGCTATTTTAGAGAGTAGGGTCTGCAGAACACCTCATGATTCTTTGGATCGTTGGAAGTCTAAATTGACACGAAAATGGGACTTGATCCCTCAGGAAATGCTGCGTGTCTCCTGTGAAGCTTTCCCACGTAGATTGGAGGCCGTCATTAAAAATAAGGGTGGTCATATTGAATAAATATGTCTTAGAATTGTTTAGGTAATTCTTGGCTATTAGCTCATCCAGTAAAAAAACAATGCACCTATTTGTTTCATTGAGAAATAACCAAAGACATGCGTTGCCATAAATATGGCGGACCCTGTATAAGTATATGGATTTTCTTCAGGAATGAAGAAAATCTCATGAAAAACACTCAATCTCGGAAAAAGATAAATTCTTTTGAAATTATTCATCGCGTTTAAACCTTTAAATGCCGCTCACGAATTATAAAAGGGATCAGAATCCTTAAAAAAGTGTAAATGTATTCGAATATTTGAAATTCATTTGAGGTATTAAAATAAGCGAGTGTTTATTCAAGTGTTAGTGACTGGCCAATTATTTGAACAGATGCGTGACCACGAGCGTGGCGGTGAAGACCTGCGGCCTCTGAGCGAGAGCTCCTCTTTCTGTGGTGCCGCTGGGGACCACACGCCTCCCTCCTTCTGTGGTGCCTCGGGGGACCACACTCCCACTTCCTTCGGTGCCACGGGGGACCACACGCCTACTTCCTTCGGTGCCACGGGAGAGAACGCGCCTCCGTCGGTCCGCTTCAGACCTCGTAGCGGCACGCGGTCTAAACAGGTGAGCTACTGCCGCCTTATCTGCCAGTTGGTGTTGCGTGTAACTCGAGTTTCCTTTGCTTGTAATGTTTTTTTTGTGTTTTTTTAGGATGTATGTAGATGTTTAATAACGAGATACCTCTTTAGTATTTTAGGATAGTGTAGTAGATATTTTTTTGGCTGAAAATATTATTAGATGCTCAAAAAGATGCTAATATTCATTTTAGTTATGGTTCTTGAATAAATGAATGCATGCCGCGTTAATGACCGGTTTAAAGGTCTGACCAGAGGTCGGTGCGCACACGATTACAATTCCTCTGTGAACTTCATGACTCAATCTCACCATTTCTCTTAATTTAATCTCACGGTTGACTCATATTACCACACATGTTTCCTACTTAGGCAGGTCAACTGCTATTTATTTATCGTGTGATTCATTAGGTTCTCACTGCAGCTGATCGCTTTATTAAATTGAGTCTTATGTTCCCTTCAGACATTTGATTCTTTATATCATAGATCCGTGTACCATTCTTTAGATTCTTGCAGGGAGCTGAGATTGCTTTATATACTTAATTGCTAAGATTCTCATCTATGCATCTCGGCTATTACTACCCGAGTTAAAGGTTGTGTTGGTGATTTTTTTGTGCGTGTGAAAGAATTTTCTTGAAGTTAGTAATAAAAATTTACACGGTTACTTTTATTCTCCAGTACCCTTATTGCTTATTTAATCTCATATTATGACGTTCACAGCAGCCTCCCAGACCACGGGCTCAAGTTAGCAGATCTAGGCTGTGCTGCGTCCCTTTATATTCACAACAAAACCCAATATTTTTTACAGCAGCGTCCTCTGACGCGTTACTTGCCGGTCAAGTCCACGGAGCCCTCGAGTCTCCAGTTCAACTTACGACAGCACATCGAGAGCGCGGGCCACCAGATCGAGCTGTGCTCCAACATTGTGCTCACGTCCACATCTTGTCGCGGGTATCTACACAAACTTTCCGGGTCTGCCAAGAACAAATCGCCGCAGGGCGGGGCCCTTGTTTCACCACACCAAACTTCCAAGAATTCTGGACGTTTATTCGGCATGAAAGCTTATAACAAGAGATGGTTCGTGTTTGATCGCGATGAAAAGGCGCTCATTTACTATGCCGACAAGTCTGAAAGCAAAGCTAAAGGATTCATTTATTTTGCGGTGAGTGAACATTTACGATACACTCTCTGTGCTACTGGGACTCGTGGCCTATGTACTTTCTAATGTTATCCTAACTTGAGTTATTTGATTGGCGTATTTGAATTCACTGGTTGCTTTATTTTCTTGCATATTTTTGTCTTTTCGTATCTTTGTCTTCTCGTATTTATTTTTTATGCTTGAATCGATTGGCAAAAAATCTAAAAGTTAGCGGCAAGTCCTAGACCAGAAATTGAACTGGTCGAACTAAATGATACATTTATGCACGCTCGTTATAGTAGCTGTACTACAGTGTAATATATTTCGCAGGACATAGAGGAAGTGTACGTGGACCATCTGAACGCCTACACCGTCAACGGGTCCAAGAAGTCTGGCAAGAACTGCCCCGCTGTCGCCTTCTGTGTCAAGGCGAGATCCAGGACCTTGTCTCTACTTGCCCCGTCGCCCGCCGCCATGAGAATATGGGTCGAAGTTATATTTACGGGCGCCGAGGGCTACCATACTTATGATGAATATTAGCAACTTGTAATTGTTCTAACAAATTCTTACCACGGGCGCTGAGGGCTACCACACTTATGATGAATATTAGCAACTTGTCATTGCTCTCCTAACAAATTCTTACCACGTGCCTGTCGAACATTTGAGATCTGGTACTGAATTTTGTTGAGATGATCGGTATCAAAACATCAGAGCAAACGCTTATTCGAGCATATTTTGTTTGGCACCGAGTTTGTTTCTGTTGAAAACTCGCGCATCTTGACGTAAGCACGTCGTGCATCCCTCACTGTGCAGCAAATTAATTGTTCGCTCGCGTAGCAGAACTATTCTGTGATTATAAATTTGTCACGTGAAGTCTTTATTTATTCTTCACTATGTTTGCTTCAGTACTTTTGCTGACCTGGTGATGTGCATTGTTTTCTTCTATTCTTGCGTGGTGAATGTTGATCCAAGTTAGTATCGAAATGACACCTATACCTGTGCGATTTTAAAATCTTTAAATAAAATATTTCGTTTGATACCAAATTAATGGCGAATTGTTTCTCATTTATTAGATGCTCTTTATTTAGTGGCAGTTCTTGTACTTCATGAACGTACTTGTTCCCCGACGCCGCTCTCCATTGTTGTCGCGAAATTTAGAAAGAAAAGATCAAATCTTAGAATATGATGCACGAAAATATATATTTGGCTTGTTGTTCGTAACTTTACGCAAAAACTGTTTTATTGCCAAATTGCGCACTCAATTTAAAAATTGTTGCTTCAATTCAATGCTTCAGTTCTGATGGGGTCTCTGTATAATGCAAGTCTCGGATTTTTTTTTATTCGCAGCTCCAAAAACATATCAATATTTATTTATTAACGAAGTTTTAGATTGCCGTTTCAATTATTTAAATTAATTTATGAGACAAATGAATAAATTTGCCAATAAATTTAAAGGGACCCTGACGAGCTCTGTCCAGATTCTTCGTTGTCTATATTAATACACTTCTATATTTTTCTGTATTAACTTACCCATTTATTGTATTGAATCCTATTGCCTATGGAATTTGATTGCCTGTTGATTGCTTTAAGGAATCCTATGTAATACTCCCTATTAAACCATATGGGATATTGCCTATTGAATCCTACGGTATATTAGCTCTTGGTTCCCAATGCTTATGGACTGTGTACAGTCGATAGTTGTATTGGTCTGTTCAGGGGAGGATAGATCGCTCATGAAGGCAGCTATAAAATTGTCAAATCCAACCCAAATTTTTCAGTGACCAAAATAGTCATCATTTAATCCATCTCTTTTACTGATATATGTTTACCATATCTATCTACATCATCTTTGACGTTTTTATCTCATGTAACTTAGCTCTCGATCTTTTTCATCTATTTATAGTTTTCTATCTATAAATAATATTAGATTTCACCGTATATTAATCTCATGATTTTCGTATCAATATTTCCATTCATTTTAGAGCTTAAGAAATTTAATCAAAAAGATATTTTTAGCTGTTAAAAAGTTTAGATTTGTCTTTTTTTTGTCTCTTCCCATGCGAGACGTGAATGAAATATACAATGAATAGATCTGTAATTCATGCAATCATATGTATTATTTTCATGGCTCCGGGATTTGTGGTAACCTTATAGGTACGATGCCTATAACATCAATCCTTGATCAACTATATTCAAAATCGGAAATTCGTGTATATTTTTTTGGTCACATTAAAAGAAATGAAAGAGCCGCTTCAGAATTTTGTGTGCATCATTTAAACGGTAATTTGTTCTTCGCTGTCACAAGCGATGGGCTATGAAGTTTACCTAATGCGTGCCTGCCTTCTGTCATTGAAGGAATTTGTTGTGTTTGATTTGCGCTCAGAAATGTTCTTTGCTGCTCCATTTTCGTCCAGCGGTGTCAGTGCAGCTGCTTAAGTTTTATGTAACTATAAATGTTTTAGGAAGTTCCATTGGATTTTGGGGGTATCGTAGATATTCATAAGAGTTTAGTGCCTGATGAGTGCATAGTTTTCAGTGTTGCTCTAAGATATGAAATTCTTCTGCTCATCTGCATATAAAATACCTTTTGATGACTTAACTGCTTAGATTTTATTAAGATTGCGTCCTGTATTTTCTTCTGTGATACTTTTTCAGTTAGGAGCAGCTAGTAAGTTTCGATTAACATTAAATGGAAATTAAACTTCTGCAAGTCAAATAGAACAATTTTTAATTGTATATTTATCTTTAAATGAAATCGCAATTTCAGCAATAGCTCAATTCTTTCACTCTTCCTTGAAATATTCGAATAATTATTAGAAACAATTGAAACAATTTCCTTTAATATTCGAATAACAAAATTATTTGTGGGAAGGAAATTGTTTGATCAGGAGTAGGCTTATTGGTTAGAATTTTATTCGTGTATTATTTTACTAACATCGTTACACTGAAGCACTGCCCTTGTTCAACGCGCCCTTGCTCCTAGCATTAATCTATTTGTTGAAACGTTTTTATTACAAAAAACGCAACAAAAGAGAAATGTAATTACTTACCAATAACAGAAGATAAAGAATTCAAGTGATGTTAAAGTCTCACTGTAATTTCGTACGCAATATTAGCCCATTCATCCCGGTGCGAGTTTTTTTTTTTTTTACTCTACTAAAGTTGAGAGTTCTTACTAATCTAGATAGATATTGGTGCATCTACTTATTTTATAAACTTATTTTGTTGAACTAATCTTTTTCAATGCATAGGGTATCTAATTGGAGTGATAAATAACGTTAGGAAGCAAAGCAAGTATTTAGGATATCCCTGTAAGTATCTTCATAGTAACGAATAATCCGGCCGTATATCATAACATGGATCCCGTCTTGCCTCCTCCACTAGCTTTTATCATATCGCTTCTCATTATCCACATTCATGTTCATCTCCACATTCGTTTATTGAAGTTCTCCCTTTCATCTCATCTTTATATCGCACGTCAAATTTTCGATGTTTACTTCGCATTTCATCACTTCTATTGAACTTCTTTCGATGGTTTGGTCTCGAAGCTTCACCGTTAAGTTCACTATTTTTCTATCTACCGTAGTTTAAGGTAAATATATTTGAAGTGTTTATAGAAATGTTTTAGAAAGCATTTGCGTGACGTTGAGGTAGTTGAAGGTCGCTAGCAGTAAACTAGCTTCATTTAAACGAATAAAAATAAGCAAATTCAAATTTACAATTGTATTTTGTTGCAAACCGAAACGTTTAGTTTTAGGAAATAATTCAAAATTTCACTCTTCACTGGTTAATTATTGATTAAATAGTTCGTTTGGTGATTTTTTAACATGAAATTTTCGAGTGAATTTAAATGCAGCTTAGGTCGCCAGCACTGCATTGGCTTTGCCGTCTGCGCAGGTATTGTGTCCTCAAAATAATTTTGTCAATAATTATTAAGAATTTTGTTTGTAATGTAATTGAGGAGGCCTATGGTGTGGCAGTACCACTAAACAATGAATTTTGTATAATAAACTATAGAATTAAATCGGCTTTCATTTTTCGGCAGTTCCGCCGAAAGTAGACAAAAAAATTCGATATCCTCAAGGAAATTAGGAATCGTATGATAGAAAATATTTGTACATTATGAAATTAGTTTTTTACCGAATTTTTAAGCTATGAATGAAATGAATAAGCTATGAATGAAATGAATAAGCTATGAATGAAATGAATTTAAATTTGAATCTCAACAACAATCTCTGTGGTTTCAACTGAAAAAATACATATATTTTTACCTCATTGAGCATAAATTTGAATCTCAACAACAATATCAAAAATTGACATTTGTTATATAATGGTATTGACAATTATTTTCTATTCTGAGACGATCGAATATTGTTGTGTAAGTTTAAAAAGTTGCGGCTTCGGCTGATTAACTTGAAGCAAGTTAACTTCGCAATCTTAAAATCTTAAACTGGTTCTTTTATTTCTTATTTGTCTGCACTAAATTTAGATAAATTCGTATCATGTTCTCTACCTTTGATATTTTTTGAATATATTTTTTCCGCTGTAATTACTTTTGAAAAAATCGATTGATTTAGCATTATCGCAGAACATTGGACCATTACATAGTTTTCGAATCGTACGATTACTATAACTCACGATCATTCTAGAGCTCGTCACCATAGAATTAATGATTATCACTAAACTTAGAAGTGAAGCGGGATAATAGTATGACTCGTCATCGAGAATCTCAAAATGATGGATTATTGTATCGTGTATAGATTATCGTATCGTGAATGGATTATCGTATCGTGTATGGATTATCGTATCGTGTATGGATTATCGTATCGTGTATGGATTATCGTATCGTGTATGGATTATCGTATCGTGTATGGATTATCGTATCGTGTATAGATTATCGTATCGTGTATGGATTATCGTATCGTGTATGGATTATCGTATCGTGAATGAATTATCGTATAGTAGAAGATTCGTTTTATCATAGCTGATGATTAGAATTCAAGTCCATCTGAACCGACGATTTAAGTATAACTAGCGCTTATTGTGGAGTAACAAATCTCATAATTAGTTACACGACATCCGTGCAACCAATTATGAACTAATTGAATTTAATAGTTCACTAAATTGATATCAATGAACTTTTTAATGCTGTAAATAAAGTTATAACTTCTCCCGATACCCGAGGCTACCAGCCTACCACGCATTTTAGATCGCAGTTTAGGTTTGTCGCCAACGATTGCGCAATCTTTGACGCTGCGCCCTAATCTCGAGTTAAACAAGAAAGTGTCTTCGCGAAGGAGAAGGCAAATTTAGTTTCATAATTTTTGACATGTGAGCAATTTTCCTAAGGGAATACAATATTTAAAATGATTTCGCTATGGTTAGGTACGTAATATTGATTACTCGCCGTGCTTAATAAATAGATTATAAACAAAGTGTGCCTAATTGTTCATTGATTAATCAATGAACAATTGATCAAACAATCATTGATCATTCATTAATCAATCAAATTTTTAATTGAAGCATCAGGGCATCGTGCGTCACTTTCATCTTTTGAAACATGAACGAGCCTATCATTTCGGAATGACCAACGGACAGGACTCTGTTCCAGTCATAAATTAAAACCTTTACTGTGTTTTATGTCGGAACAAATTTTTAAAAAGACAAAAAACTTATCACTCACGGTTCAGTGGGATGAAAAGTGGGGAAGAACTCTTGCCAGGACAAACTTTGGTGTTTTTCCAATTATTTAAGAATAAAACCGTGGCTCGTATGTGCAAAGCGTGTTTAATTTAGCACTTAACCTTGCATGAGAAAGGCAAACATAGCGAAATAGTTTTCATTGCAGCATTCTTTCCTAACGGTGAATTGGAGCTCTATTCCTCGAGGCGTAAGTTTAGAACAGGAAAGAGTGTCGGACGAGCGACACTTGTAGCTCGCAGAACATCCTAAAAAAGAGTGAAAATAAGAAACAATGGTAACAAGCGATGGAGTTTGCTGAACTAGAGAGAGTAAGGGGCTAAAAGAGAGGGCGAGAGAAAGAGTAAGAGGGCACCGAGTTTAAAGAGCATGGAACGCTTGCCTCGCTTCCATCGATCGCTGCTTAGAGCTCGCACGGCCGCGGCGGTGATGGGTGCGTTGTGGATACGTGCCCCAGCGTCCGCCGACTAGGCCACCTTACCAACAATTTGGAAATTTGGCAATTTCTTTCCCCTGAACTGGCAAACCATTTGGCAAGTGGCGTGCGGTGAACAAAGATGAATTTGGGAATTGAGATATGGTGACGAAAGATACAGAAATAAAGGTCTTAATACTTGGCTGGAGCGAACAATCACTGTAAATTTGAAGCAT